AAAAAAAAAAAAAAAAAAAAAAAAAAAAAAAAACCACCTGTCCAAAAGTCTAAAGTTAACAAACAGACCATCAACCAACAAGTTGCCAGTTAAAATTAAAAAAAAAAAAACCACCTGTCCAAAAGTCTAAAGTTAACAAACAGACCATCAGTCCACAACAGTTGTTAACACATAAAGTAAAGAACGACCCAAAGACATGTTAACATCACGACAAAGAAATGGAAGGCAACTCGGCTGTCATAATTTCAGACAAGAAAAAATTGATTATCGACCTTTGCACAATTTTTGTGTGTCCTGTTCTCTGCCTTGAATTACTTGCTTGCCCACGTGGGGACAAAATGATCATGATTAAGGATAATTTCATACGGAGTCCCGTGTTGGTGGGTGAGGGCAGCAAGTATTCATTAGCTCACGTTTAACAAATCTGCATTCGTTGTCAAGATTATAGGAAATAATAATCATAAAATAAAGAGTTAGAGAGGGCAGAGTGTAAGAGAGAAACAGACAGAGAGAAAGACAGCGAGAGAGAGAGAGAGAGAGAGAGAGAGAGAGAGAGAGAGAGAGAGAGAGGAGAGAGAGAGAGAGAGAGAGAGAGAGAGAGAGAGAGAGGGGAGGGAGAGAGAGAGAGAGAGAGAGAGAGAGAGAGAGAGAGAGAGAGAGAGAGAATAATTATTCCCTTAATGTGTAAATGTTGCCCCAATCACTGTTATGAAATTTATAAAAAAAAGAAAAAGTAATTGATTGATATGAGGCAAGGGCCAACAACTTTTAAAAAAAAACACTTTTTTTTTTTAAAGTGCGGAGCGATAAATTATATCTACTAAAACACTATTTTGGATACCCCAGAAAGGAAAGGATTGTTTCAATAACATTATGGCTCAATATAAATAAATTACATGTTTAATTATGAATGTAGTGGCATCGATTCATTCAAAGAGCCGCAGTTAGGCGCCCGCTCACTGAAGATAATTCTCAACATCTTTTGTTTATAAGATAATATAAATAGCGAAATAGCCCATATGTTAAAAATATACACAAGACCCTGAAGATGTCCTCATAACTTTAAAAAAAAAAAATCTAGCACCTATTCTCATTAATACTGGCTTCAGCGTTGAAGGGTGTGTCAAAATGAATCTGATCCTTGGGCACCAAACACTATAGCTAAGCTCTCAAGATTTTTATTAGAATTACAAGTAGGGAGTTAAAATTGGGTTTCTTCCACGTCTCCAGTTTGTTATTCTTAGCATCTACAGAAACGAAACTCAGGGGTCGGGTGTCTCTCTTCTCCCTCCCCCCCCACCCCACAACAGCTCAAATCGGACATTTTTTTCTTCTAAATCATACCTTTGATGATGTCATGATATTCTTGTGCGAACATTTAGACGGTGTAAAGAAAGAACACTTTTTCCCCAGCAAGGACATGAAGCAATTTAAATCTCAAAATGTTTACCTTGACCGTCTTATCCAGAAAAATGAACTTTTCTTTTCTCTAGTAAACTCGACTTTGTGATTGTTTCCGATAGCAACATAGAAAGAGAGAAGATCGCAAAGCGCCAAGAATCACGACATCGCGTGAACTGGATAAACTGTGCAGTGGTGTCAGAACAGAGTCATCGTAATCGTTCTGCGGTTCGTTCGTTAGTGGAGACTCCACTTTATTTTAGTTTTTTGTTTTAAACGAAACACGGTTCAATTTCGACAAACGAAATAAAAATTCTTAACTGTAACTAATTTCAAAAGCAGCCATCTTAGATGCCACACCGACGAGTAGAGGGAAGAGAGGTGGGAAGGGGCAGGGGGCATTAAGTATTTTCAAGGACCCGGTAAAATAATATTATCATTATACCCAATATATTTTTTGTCGGATGGTTTTGATTTTGTGCTTTAAAAAAAAATGAGGGACAGGGAGGGGTGCCACCAACTCTCATTATTCACCGAGCCAGTGAACAGACGACAGCGGCTCTGTGGCCATCTCCAAACACACAAACGCGAATTTTTCCAATTTTTCCTTTTGTGGCCAAAATACAATGTCTTCGCCATTATCTTGGATTTTTTACCAACACATGCTCTAACTCTAAGGCATTTAAGTCCTTTCTTCCAAGTATTTACACCCATTGGTTCGCTCTAAGAATTTTAAAGAGAAATTTAATATTCATGTACATTCATTTTCTAAAATGTTTCATTCTTTTTACGTCAATAAATGTAAGCCACCGAATTCCGAAGTATTTGTCTATGCCTAATTCATTCGGAAACAATTTATTAATTCCCCAATTTCAGAACTCTTTGAATTAGTCAACGCCTTTTCCTGCTTCCAATGGCCATGGCTCATGAAAATTTCTATAGAATTTCTTCATAAAAATCGGAAAGTCTCAAACTCAAGTGTAAATGAAAAAAATAAAAAATAATGAAAAACAAATGATTTCAAAAACAATATTTAATTTAAATCTAAATGTTTCCAACAACTTTTACCGAAATTAAACTGCCGGCATTATTAACTGGAATACATTTTTGTTGGATTGCTTTGTTGTTGTAAGTGTAAGGGACATAATACATTATTTTATTAATTTACAATAATATACTTTGTGATAAGGGAAGTAACTGAACAGACTTCATTACTTAAATATTTTATAGTAATGCAATTTCTTTCAGGGCAGTCTACAAATATTTATCTAATGAATATTATTACATAGAATTTCATGCTTTGAATGCTTACAAGATGGTGTCATTTGATTTGAAATGATAATAATATATTATGCTCTGTGCAGACGTTACTGTTATTGTTCAAAACCGCATCACTACTTGTGGGGAAATCAGGTCTTCGGTTTGCGCACTGAAAAATATTACTCAAGCTGTAAAATTAACAAACTGAAAAATCAACCGAACAACTAAACGCAATGTTATGAAATAAAATATTCATTTTAATGCATTTTAAAAATAATATTTAATAGCATTTATTTCTCAGAAATAATGTGATTGACATAATGTTATTTTTTCGCCTTTTGGAAGAACAATCTACTTCCTTCACTCATTCCTTGATGTAATCATCAAATGTGCCGACAGACTATATTCCTAATGTAAATCAAGTAAGTAAATGAAGGAGGCGTTATATTTTTAGGAAATTAAGATAATGCAAAATTATATCTTTTAATAATGCACGAAGTTCATGGGTAGCTAGAATGTTATTGCATTTTAAGGTTATAGTTAATGAGGCTTTTTCCTCCGTTCTTCGTTGACGCCATTTTCCTCCACCAGCATCTGTGTCTTCCGTCCTTCAGATTTTCCATAGATAATTTAACAATTATTCATTTAAGTTGAATTTATAACATAAATATGGAACTTCGTGTTCTTGTCAATCGTTTTGCTGCTTTGCTCAGTACATTTAGCAATGATTTTCAATCGCTTTATATGATTTTAAAGCTTTAAATAATGGAGAAGAAAAGAAAGAATAATAAAATATAAAAAGTGAAACAGGAGAGTGAGGGAGTGAGTGGAGGCGGCGCTGAGCGCGCACTGAGTTTGTCATTATGCGATGCTATTTATTTTATGTGTTTGGGAGAGGCCAAGGCCAAGGGGAATATCTAATTTAAAAAAAAAATAATCCAGGAATATGACCTATCCATTTTTTATTCATTAAACAACTCACTTTGGAAGAGAAAAAAAACGAACGAATATTTGATTTGTTTTTCATGACAAAATAATATTAATGCGCTAAAATTCAAGGAATATTTGCGCAAGAATCACGAATCCTAAAATCTAAAAATAAGTTTATGCTTATTATATGATTGGTCATTCGGCTTAGCAAAAACTGGGGAAATATCATAATTTTTTTTTTTTTTTAATATTGCTGATGTAATTATAGTAGAAAAAAAGTGATAGCAAAGATTATAAAAATAAATCATTAAATTAAATGATAGACCTTGCCTTACTGAACATAATTTTAATTACTTTGAATTTGAAAATATATAATAAAAATCTCTATTAAAATTTACATATTCTGATACAACTTGAAATAATTCTTATTACATTAATTCCTCCAATTAGGAAGTGCCTAAACTTTTATATATTTTTTTAACCACTGAATTATTAAAGTCAAGATGTTATATTAAATAAATAATGCTGTAACATAAAATTAAATAAATTGGACACAAGATAATATGGATGTTTCAAATAATGTCAATTAGTAACACAATATTTTGACCTTTGAAGCTTAAAACCTGGGTGTTAAGTTTTGACAGACTATACCCTACTAGAATTGCTTTTTTTCCTTAAGAAATGGATTGTTGAACAGAAAAAAAGCAATTATAGTAGGGTATAGTCTTTCAAAACTTAACACCAAGGTTTTAAGCTTCTTTCTCTTATCAAAACATATATGCAAGATATTCAAAACAATTTGTAGGCACATGCTAGTGAGCTATAAGAATCTATAGCTTATCAATTTTCTCATGAAACTTGGGCTGTTTTGTTAATAATTCTTAAAACTTAATTAATATTCATATGCCAATTAATATGATTGCAGTTAATTAGAATTAATTTATAATAATAATTACCGGTATTAAAAAGATTACAATGTATTATCTAGTACTGGAAGCGAAGTTTTTTAAAATATCACTTAATTAATAGACCGTATATTATATTATCACTGATTCCTGCACTTTTTAACAAAATTTCACTACCTGCTTTCCTGTTACTTATATATGTATTCGGGGTAATTACTAACTTTACATCCTCTATCAATCTATCAGGCACTACTACATTTATATCTTCTATTAATCTAGCAGGCGCCTCACTAGCCAAGGATGGACAATCTGCCTCCATCAGGATTTCAGTTTGCAGGTGATGATTATGGACCTGTGGACTTTCCTAGCTCACTGCCAAGTGACATGCAAGGAGGTATAGCATTTGCTGGTGGAGGCCCAGTTTTCCCACAGAACCAGAGGGGAAGTAGTTATGGCATGTCACCATTTCACATGAATTATTCACAGCAGGCCAGTATGCCTTCCATGTCAAGCTTGCCGTCTGGCTCCTTTCGAAGCAGATTTTCCGACTATCCACCCGATCAAGGTCCACACCTGCCTATGCCAATACCATCTTCAGCTTCTGGGATGATATCTGACCGTTTGCCAAGCTTTAGCACAATTGTTTCCAGCAGCGGCACCAGCAGCAGTGATCTTGGCAAAAGTGCGCAGGCTCTCTATTCTAGTATATCTAGCCAACAACATGCATTCCAACCTTCAGGTAGCCGTGGTATTCAAAATCACTTTGAATCTGTTTCATACCCCGATCAGGTGTCTGGGAAAAACTACAGCAAGTCTCCATCGCTTGGCTCTACTTCCCCTGGCATGGGCAGCTCTAATTACAGTAATAACATCCCACATTCATCTATCTTACAGCACTCAGCACACAATGGCGGTGGTCAACACATGTCATCACACTCTCCTAGGTCTTATAAGGAAGAAGCTCCAAGTCAGCAGCAGTATCACTCTGGGCCCATGCATCATGATAGACATGGCGGCTATGGACATGGAGGAATGGGCCTACCCGCAGGAGAATCTATGGCCATTCACAAGTTTAAACACAAGTATCTTTCCCATAGCCAGCCTATCCCCAGGCGCCACATTGGACCATTCAAATTTTTTATTATAGGTAAAACAGAAAGGCCATCAGTATTTAACAAAGGAACACAGACCAATGAAGAACAAATGGGGGAATTAAAGATAAAAATTCCAAAATCTGAAATCTACAAATCAGAGTCTGAGACTGAATTTTCTGATGAGGATGATGAAAGAGCAAGGCGGCATAGATCAATGCAAAATCAAAACAGCAGGGGGGCACCTGCACATGGTTCACCTCGAATTACATTCCCCTATGATCCTCTTCCTTCACAAGGAGGAGACTATCGTGACTACAACAAGAACACAAAAATGAAAACCATCATATCACCCAGTTTTATGGATGCTGCGGGCAAAGCTACGATGACAACATGTGTTTCAAACAAAGCCACTATTGTCACAGTGGGTATTGTTAGTAGACCGTCTAACCTAGGAGGTCCACTTCCAACTGATACCACTCAGCATAAAGGAATAATGTCTACAGGAAACCCCCACGTTTATAGGAACCAATATCAAAACAAAATCATGAACTCTCGACGAGGTCCAGAAATTATTGGTGATGTCAGGATAGAGAATGAAGAACAGTTGATTGAGGAGAGGAAAGCTAAAGCAAGAGATCTGGAACAAGAGCGAATGGAGGTCAGTGTAAGAATTGATGACACCCAGTACGTTCAGGTGGGCAATGTGAAACGCTGGCAATGCAATGAATGTGATAAGTCCTACACGACCAAGCATAACCTGGTGATGCATGTACTGGACCATAGTGGCATCAAGCCCCATCTCTGTCTGAAATGTGGCAAGTATTTCAAACAGCTTAGCCATCTGAACACACACATGCTCACCCATGACCAAATAAAGCCACACACGTGTAACATGTGCGGCAAGGGATTCACTCAGATCAGTCATCTCAAACGTCACACGGCTGTCAGTGAAAAAAATGGTTACTGTGCAAACCTGCGCTCTAAACATTCATCGGGTCATTCACCATCATCTTCTCAACATGATGGGCAAATGGTGAGTCCAAAACTTTTAATCTCATCTCTTAAACTTTATTATTATTTTTTGGACCTAATTAGCCTTTCTAAAATAGATCCATTACATATGACATAGAAATGAATCAAATTTGAAGGTAATGGTAATACAAATTTTTAATATCAACTCTATAAAAATGACTTAAAGATAAATAGCATGAAAAAAATTTAATGGTGTCGTTTAAATTGTATTGTATTGAAATTTTTTTATGAGCAAAATGAGTTTTTCGTATGTACAATAGATTTAATGGCTTAGTATTTATTGAAAGTTTTAAAGTATTTTGTTTCCTAACAATTTAGCAACAAATGCATGCTTCTCCTGGTAGCAGTATTGTAAAGCGCTACCCAGACCAAAACCAGAGTTTTGATTCAGAATATGACACCGATGACATGAAGGATGGAGATAAAGGTGGCAAGCTGCTTTGCCGTTACTGTGATAGGAAATTCCGATACCCAAGTCAGTTAAAGGACCACATGCAATCCCACAACGGCCACAGGCCCTATATGTGCACTGAGTGTGGCATGGACTTTATGAAAGTAAATATTTAATTCCAAACATAAACATACAATAAATATATTCAGCTTTGCACATTTGATTTGTTTTTTAATGTTAAGTTTACTAATTTATATTTATTTATTTAATTATCTGCTACTTAATTTGTAGTGAGATGATAAAGTGTTATCTTTATATTTCAATAGTTCATGAATTGATAACTATCATTACAAATAATTGCAGCATTATATTTTAACAAATAATTTCTTAGTGATGATTCATTCGCAATTAATTTGTTCTACAGAGAATGTTTGTTTTGTATTTCACTTTTAAGCCATAAATAACTGTTGTCATTTGATGCTTTGCTTCTCCCTTCAAATCCTAAAACGTATCTTATAGAAATTGTCATTACAGGAGCACCACTTGAAAGCTCACCAGTTTACTCACACTGGCCTCAAGCCGTACACCTGTGATGTTTGTGGCAGGTCTTTCAACCAGAGGGCCAACTTGCAGCGTCACAAACTGATCCATGAGACAACCAGAACCTTCAAATGCAATGTCTGTGCTAAACTGTTCACCCAACCTCAGACACTGAAGGCTCATCAAGTTGTTCATGCTGATCGTAAACCATTTGAATGTACAATTTGTGGTAAGCATCTTTTTCTGTGTAATAATATTTATTCTTTAGTGTTGTTTTGTGGGGGATTTTTTTATCTTGCTTCTCAGGTATATTCATCAGTGCTTAGGTTTTTAGTAGTACAAATAATAGAGTTAGTTTTCCAATATTTTATAAGACATTGATAAGCTGGTAATAAAATAGTTAATGTAATTTAAAGATATTTTGGAATACGTGTATGTATGCATAGTATGTTAGTGCACTATCTAGTGTACTATACAGTTTTAAAAATTACATTGTAGTAATGACTATTATACTTCTCAGCAATGTGGGATGATTAAATTTTGTGTTACACATTTTGGAGCAAAATAATTTTGGTTATTTTAATATATTTGTCTTATTGCCAATATGAAAGCAATTATCAAAAATTCTATCATTATTATATTTTCTCTCCTGCTGGAAATCTTTATCCACTACTTTAAAATTTTTTAGGGAAAGAGTTTGGTCGTTATCACAACTTGCAAGGACATATGCATATGCACACTAATACTAAACCTTATGTGTGTTTTTGTGGGAGTACATTCACTTTGAAAGGTCAGTGCATTGGTTTATAATTCATGCTGATTAATAGAGTGGTCCATTTCGTATCTTCCTTTATTGTGTGAAATATGCAGCTGATTGTTTCATGAATTAATAATTTATTAATAATAATGCACAACATCACTTCACCGTTTGTTGATTTAGGATGGGGATTGTGACCTTAGGACCTTGTTATAGCTACTCAGAATTCTAGTGTACATGTTTAGACCCTGATGAATATAATTAAACATATAATATACAATGAACTAACTGAATGTGTTTTGTTTCCAGGTAATCTGAACAGACATAAGAAAGTAAAGCATGGACTCAATGAAACTACAGATGTTATGGAAGAAGATGCAGTCAATTTTCTCAGCTCCTTATCTGAAAGAGCGAGAGATGAACACATTGTGGATGGTGAAACTGAGAGCCTGAGTCCTGGCTCTGGTGGGGAGAGTGGTGATGGGAAGTCTGGTAGGAAAGGGAGGAAATCCATCCCAAGAAAAATAACTCAGGGTGAAGGAGACGAAGGTACATTTGTTCAACCTGCACCCCCGCCGCCAATCCCTCTCCCGCAACAACCACCACCTCTTCCTCCACCACAACCACCCCCTCCACATTTACCTGTGATTAGCAATAACTTACCACCACATTTGCCCCAGCCGGGGGTCCTGAAGCCATTTGTTATACAAAACCCTGACACAGACGATGAAATTGATGAGGATGAAGAGGTTGAAATTCCCATTCCTCCACCTGCACCAAATACTGGGCAGATGATCCATGAAAAGATTGCTCCCATTGCAAGTGTGATGAATTTCCAACCTCTAAATGTAAATCCAGAAAAAGATGCTGAGACCATTGCCAGAATGGCCAACAGGAGACCGAGGGATGAGGACATTATGGAAGTCGATAAAAGGCCACGCAGGCAATCCCAGCGACGTTCGCCCAAAGTGCACACAAGTGATATGGAACAGACAGACAGTGAGGAGAATGAAACCGAGGCTGACGTCAATGATAATACAGACACTGACTGGGTCCCTGGATCTCGAAGACGATCAAGAGGAAAATCTGATGCAGGAGAAAAGGGGAAAATTTTGTAGATATTAATTGTTATATATTTTGAATATTTATATGGTAACATGTTGAGAGAAAAAATGACAATCGATTTACAAGATTACGGACTATTGGATGGTCCAAACAGCATCATTTTGTCTCTATTATGTCCTAAAGCTATGGTTTTTAACATTCGATTTTGTAGAGAAGCAAAGATGAAGAAATCACTTTGAATAAATCTGTCAGAAGAATTCCAGTATAATCAAGGAATATGTGAAATCAGCAGCTAGTAGACATGTTGTTTTATACATTGTCATGGCTCCAGGTGTGGAAATCGTTCTACTTTTCCTATGAAAATATCACTTCAATGATCAAAGGTACTGTTATGAAGTATTTATTATATCAGCATGGTCCTACATTTTTGTTTAATCATTGTATTAGCTTTTAATGACATACAATTTGCCAACTATGTTAAACTCATCTGTTATAGTTAAAAAAAAAAAAGCATAATATCAATGTATTAAACTTGAAAATGTAAAATTGAAAATTTAGTCTTTCAAATGGAGATTAACTGGCTTTAATTAAATGTTTCTCGATTTGATAGAAAAGAACAGATTTGTACTTCTTTTCTGAGCTTAACTTTTATGATCTTGAAGGAAATATATAAAGACTCCACATGTACAAATTATATTTTAATTCTAAACTAATTTTTTGATAAGGAGGTTCATGTCTACATCCTATTTGTTGTTATGCAGCATTGTATTGCCATGCAAAGAACTAAATGTTCAAAGTTGTTAAGTTATTTATTTATGTCAAGTACATTGTAGTGTTTCACTGTACTAAGAGTTAAACAGTTTTTTAAGGGGCAAGTAATATCTTCAGGTGCGCCCAGTATTATTATTCCTTATCTATCACTTCCTCTCTCTATCAGTTTTGTTTGCAATGCAAATAAATTTGTTGGTATCTTTTTACATGTAACCACAGACAATAAATTCATAGATTTACATTAAAATAAAAACTCACATGATTGTGGTATGTCTTGAAAAGCTGATCTTTTTTAATGAAACAGAAAATGGTCATGTTGGTCAAGTTTGAATTTCACACTAGAAATTGATTTAGCGAATTTTGCTATCCTTAAGCTCTTGGTGGAGAAAAAAAGTAATTGAAAATGCAGAATTCATTATGAATTTAAATGTTTCTTGAGATCTGGTGTCAGATATCTATAACAATAAGTTTTACCTGATCAGGCAAATAGATGTGATCTTCATTAGTCCTGGCATTATTTTAGTTTTTAAAGTTAAAGTAGAGGTATGTTGGCCGGTTTAAAGACCGTGTCAGTAAAAATATTTTTCCTAACATAATTGTTTACATTGTATATTTATAATCTGCTTTATAAAGTAGTGATAATTTATTTTAAAGGTTATTACAATTAGCTACAGACTAAATTTTGCCAGATACTGTTCTATTTTTATGTTTTTCCATCTCCATCCATCAAATTTATGCGAATATTTTCTATAATTAAACACTTCAAAAGTCACTTATATCTTGAAGAAGTTACTACATAATTTACTTATGACTTGTAAAATAGGTCTAAAGTCTAATGAAAAAAAACCTAGACATTTCAACTGCTAAAATTTCAAATAATTTAAATACTTTTGCTAAAAATGTCTTTCATCTAAATGGGGATAAAAAAAAAGAAGTACATTGAATTTTAAATAGCCAATATTTGCATAAAATATGTGTTGGTTGTAATTTGAGCTATTTAAATTTGAGCATTGGCGGCTTGTTTACAAGTATTGCAGCCATATGAAACAATGCATATGTTATGTTAACATATTACCACTAGTAAATATACCTCCTCTTAAACCTGTATTTTATGTTTTTAAAATGTTATTATAATCAATCCCATGGTGCAATCTCCTACTTCTGTATTGTGTTAGTTTCAGTGTTATTAATATTATTATGTCCAGTGTTTTAAATTATCAATGGGTTAGCTATGTTCATATCAAACGTGGCAGAGATCTGTTTTTACTTTACACCAATATTCTTTTATGACAATGCCATGATTACCAAGATTTATTTTAATTTTATTAAAGACTAGAATATATATATTATTTATTAACTAGACTGTAGATATTTTTTTAAGATTTGAAGATGCAATATTGTGGTTATTTGCAACTTGTATTCCACTGGAAATATGGTTGCTAAAATTTGTATCTGTTTATGTAAAGGACAAACTATTTTTCAGTATTTGACTATCCAATTAATTTCCAAATAAAAATTGTAAATGTTTCTATCAATGTTCATATTGACATATGTACAGTATTTATTTCCAATGTGTTTCCAAGATGTAAATGTTGATAATCCAATGGTCTCTTTTCATGAACAAAACAGAAGACTAGCACAAACTTGTATATGTTAGTATGTTGATTGTATTATGTACATTGAATGCATTAGTTGAATGTGTATTGAATTCACTGAGCTAATTTTATGTTTATTTTAAAAAGTAATGAAACAATTTTATTGTCATATACTTTTTTTTAAAAAGTAGATGCATTTAATTAATTACCAAGGTGATGAATTTTAAAATGTTACATCCCTTGACTTTTCATGATTTTATTGACTAGTGAGACCCTGTTGGTTCCTCACTAGATTATTGACTAGTGAGACCCTGTTGGTTCCTCACTAGATTATTGTCTAGTGAGGCCCTGTTGGTTCCTCAGTGTTATTTTCTTTCATTATTTTATTGTACAGTTTATTGTGCAAGTGAGAGCTAGTCATTCTCATAGAACTAATTTGTCAATTTTACCTAGAATAGCAAAGCATTGTACATGACCTCCTAACTTAACTGCAATGTCCTGTGATTTTTGTACAATTTCCTTAATCTTCCTTTTCCGTTGTAATTGAATCCATTTCTTCCCCATAATTACTGGGTGATATTATAGTTAAATATGTAGCATTAATAGTGTAAGCATCATTTCATGGATTTTACTTCAGAAGATTTCAAACATGTTTTTGTGGAAGGAGATAGAACGATGCTGAAAATGAATTAATTTGAATTAATTTTAGACCTGAGTTGGAACTTTAGTTCTAATGGTTTATTTGGAAAATTTAATTAGTATTTTATTATGAGGACAGAAACTGGCTTTCCGCCCCCTATAAATTCTCATCAAATTTCAATAAATATTTTATGTCAACAGTAAATGTGGAATATTACTGCTCTTTGTTTTTACTCTCTCGTGTTTCAGGTGTAACAGTAGCAGTATTTAAGAAACAAAAAACAAAGACAAATTTGTCATAATTACTTTTACATAATAAATAGGTCTATAATACATCAATGAATATTAAATCTCAACATTACAGCAATTGAGTACATGCTGAAAAAAGTTTTGTTAGTTAAAACATTTCATAGCAACACAATACTGGCACTTTATAGATATTATGACTATTGTCAAATACACAAGCTAAAGACACTTTCTAACAAACAAAAAATATGATGAAATAAAATGTAGAAATAAAATCACATTAATTTAATCTCTATTCCACAACTGACAAAAATCAGCTTGACCAGAAGTGAGCGCTTATTGCTCTGCAGACACTAAGAGTGACCTAATGACTACATCACAGCTTCATTGCTTTTGGGGACATTTTAATATATCTATCTCAACATTAACACACAAAACAGATTTTGGTATGTGCCAATAATGTTTAAAAAAAAATAGTATTAAAATTAAAATATACTTTCAATCTTGTTCACCAATTTTAAACTTGACTAAATAAAAAACTTGACAAATTTTTTAACAGTAAACACTATTTGTTGCTCTGAATAATGAATAGTGGCTACTGTATAAACTGAAGAGAGTGAGTTCAATATTATCCCGTGGAAGAAAATATTGTAGTTTTTTTGTATAAATAAAAATAATAATTGAGGCATGAAGAGATTCATTCAAGTCCATTATTACAACTAAAACAAACACGGAGAAAATAAAATTGCTGTAATTTTCTTTAACATTAATCTAAATTACTTTTAACAGCTGTCTATGCTCCAGTAGCACAATATATTTACAGCAATCATTGATGCCTATAGAATAGTGCAGGGTATAAAGAATATGAAATTTGCCCAGGTTTAAGGCACTTAAAAATCACATTGTCTGATAGACATACAGTTACAGAGCTGTTGACTATGCATATAAATATATAGTTGTATAGCAGTAAGAAAGTTTTCGATTTAGACAAAGTTTATAGGGCAGATGATCTAAGACTTTAGTTTAGTAAGGAAAAAAATGAGTTATCACCAACAGATGGAACTCATCACAATTCATTCACTCCTATACCCAGCCTACCCAGTTAATTCCATACTTGCATACATTTTCTGTGATTTTTGTTTATCTTTAAAATCAACAGCATACAGTAGGTACATGCATCCATTAAAATCAATGACAGTACTGAAGGATTTTACTGGGTTAAACAAATTAGAGGATCTCACTGCAAGGTAATTAATTGTGTAAATCTTAACTCTGTTTTTAGCAGATTTTTGTTTCATTTTATGTACCATGTTTACTTTCGTCAATTTGTATTAAGACAATGTAGAAACAAACAATGTGGCTATATTTATATCACACTTAAAGGTAAGTCGACCAACAAACATGTCTTTGTCAATAGCTGATATATCCATATAAGTTAGTTTCCATTAGTCAGGACTCCATGGTCATCAATACTCTGATAATGTTTAGACCTTCATAACATTGGTTTCACAAAATGAAAAATTTAAAGAGCAATCATACGATTTCTGTTACAATAGTGATATATGTAGTAGTATAAGGGTTAAACAAACACATACTCTTGGGAAAGCTTCAGAATTTTCTAATAATGTCTTTCAGTTGCAGGAATTATTATGCCAAAAGAGAAGATAATGCGACAAAAAAGTCTTTAGCTTGAAATTGATCTATAGAAAAAAGTATAAAATAAGTGATAGTTTCAATTGAAAGAAGTTTTATAGGACATATCAGGTGTGCACATTTAACAGACATATTTTAATACGCTATCT